CCTGATTGGTAGAACTGTAAAGAAAACATTGAAGGGGCTCCCCTCCCCCTCTCTTGCCTTTTCAGCTTCTTTCATTTAAAGCTGTTGTGTGAAACCAAGGAGCCCTCTAAAAAGAAACATATAGTCCTTTGAGTCCAAGGTGTTTACCTGAGAACTAGGTGAGAGGAATCAAGGGTGGTGAACTAGATTTGTAAGTGTGTACGTGCATGATAGGTGTAGTAGAACATGCAGATTATAAAACTAGAGCATGTGATGGTTGTGTACAGACTGACGGGAAGCAGGCCCCATGTATAATTGTGTAAGTGTTGCTGAAGCTCTATTCCACCCGCTTTTACTGGTTGCCAGCTGCCCTATAGGCAGAAGGGAGGAAGGGAGTAACTACTTCTTGCTCAACCTGTATGGAATCAAAGCAAACTTGTTCTGGAAACATGCCAGGTGGGAGAATCCAGGTACCCCAAAGATGTGGGGGAGGGGAACCAGCTTCCCACGGTCAGAAGGGAGGCTTTGTGACACTTGCTGGGAAGTTACTATTTTGGTAAAGGAGCAGTTTTGTTAATGCAGGGCAAGCTGCGTGGAAACGTGTAGCAGCTATCTCAAACATCTAAAAGTTTTGCATTCTGCATAAAGTCACTTTTCATTTCTGTCTTTTTAGGCCTCCTTATCTAATACACAGAATCAAGTTGGCTGTGGCTTTTATCTTTTCCCCTCTCACTTTCCTGCATGTATTTCATGTGATTCTGTGAACAGAGAACAGTGGTAAAGAGCATCACAAGATGCCTGGATAAATTACTCTAAACAATTATGGCCTTTCAATTTATCCTCAGGACAGTTTATGTAACACATTTCCCATGTTTTCTTATATTTAATCCAAGCAGGAACTCTGCACAGCTGCCAAAGCAATTATTTGAATTTATTTTTGTAGTAGCTAGTTTCGATGAGCATTTGGATCCTGTGCACCAAGAAATAGCAAATGTTTTTATAATCCTTCTTTTTTATACAAATAAACAAACAAACCAATAAATAAATAAATATTGATATATTAAATCCAACTTCAGCTTTGGCACAATTCTCTTGGCATCCTGAATGTGGAACTTGGAGCCAGTTTTCAATCCTGACCTTGCATCTAGTCTATATTTCACAGGAATTGAACTTAACCGGCAAGTTTATTTTCCAGTTGTATCTTTTAGATCAGACTTTTCTGGAGTGGTAATTCATCCCACTGAAGTACTATTTCAATGCGTGGATGGAAGAAAACAGATAGATATTGATGTTAAGCTCCAGCACAATAGAACTGCTCTTACATTGGGATTCACTTTGAGACCCAGTGATCATTGTGGATGGGAAGCCATTGCTCCCCCAAGGAGCAGACCCAGGGGTGAAATGCTCCCGGTTCAGACCAGATTGCCCGATCTGGTAGCGATGGCGGCGGGTGGTTTGGAGAACTGGTAGCAAAAATCCCTGCCCCCCCCCCCACGCCCAGCTGAGCCGCGCGATCACCAGAGGCTGTTTTTTTACTTTTAAAAGCATTTTTTCTACAATCTTTTCTACAGCCTCTTCAGCCGAAAAAATGCTTTTAAAAGTAAAAAAAAAGCCTCTGATGATCGCGCGGCTTAGCTGGGATCGTCAGAGGCTTTTAAAAGCATTTTTTCTACAACCTCTTTGGCCGAAGAGGCTATAGAAAAAAAAAGCCTTTAAAAGCCTCTGGCGATCCCAGCTGAGTTGCCTGATCATCAGAGGCTTTTAAAAGCATTTTTTTCTGCAACCACTTTGGCCGAAGAGGTTGTAGAAAAAATGCTTTTAAAAGTAAAAAAAAAAAAAAAAAGTTGGCCATGCCATTACTCCCCCCAAGCCACGCCCACAGAACCGGTAGTAACAAATTTTAGATTTCACCCCTGAGCAGACCCACAATTTGGAAGGCCTGCTGGAATTGTGGCTCCTTCTAGAATAGCAGATGGAGGCTTTGCCTAACTTTGACTGGTGCATCATTTGTGGCCTTTCCTGGGCCCAGGAAACCTTATGATGGCGGCTTATATCCTCATTACCATGACTATTGCAAAGCACTCTGCATGGGTCTGCCTTTAAAAACCATCTGGAAGCTTCAATTGATACAGATTTCAACACTCCTAGTGCTCCCTGGCAGCCATCAGTGGGAACATGTAACACCTATTTTGTAAGCCCTGTATTGGTTACCTATTGGCTTCCAAGTGCAATTAAAAGTACCAGTGTTAACACACAGGAGGCATTATGTCTCAGCACCAAACAACATGCACGACTGCAATTCCCTAATGACGTTGGCCCAAATGTTGCAATTATGTGAGAACAAGTTATTGATTCCTCAACACTTTGGGAAGGTCAAGGAGAAGGATGGTATTGCTTTTTGGTGGTGACACCCAGCCCTTTGGAACGGCCTCCCATCTGAGGTTAGACTTGTTCCTATCTTGGCTAGCTTCCAGAAGATGTTCAAGATCGAGCTCTTCTACTGGATGTTTGCTCTGTGATGCTATGATGCGTTTTTGATAGGGTCACCTTATGCTTTGAGGTTTGAGTTTCTTCCTCTTCTCTGTACTGTATGTTTGTAGTTTTGCTTGGAGATTTTTTTTATTGCACTTGAAAGCTGCTTAGTCTATTAGATTGTGGTGAGGTGAAATCAAATAAATTCATAAATAAATAAACTCATGTGTTTCTTTATAAAATTGGCATGTGAGTTTGTCTAAATGTTCCATTTTTCAGCATGTTGCCTGGGACGTTTTTCAAATGAATCCATCTGCAAAAATCCTTACTGGGGAAGTGTGATAATCCCCCTAGTTTAAGGATGGCACAAAAGTCCTGCCTTAGCCATGACAGCTGGCTAGTGACTTTCAACCAGTCAATTTCTCAGCCTCTTAGGGTTGTTGTTGTGGGGGAAATAGTGCAGAGGAAGGTATGCTGGATATGTTTACTGCCTTGAGTTATTTATAAAAATAATAAAGACAGAATGAAAAATCTTTTAAAACTTATCTAAATCTAAAGTGGGTCCCTCCCATCTACTCCCATGTTACAGAGACACAAGTTGTCAACCAGACTACATTTTTATTGTTCCACCCAGGTCATTGGGAAGGTAGGCTGAGCTCTAGATAAACCTAACATCCCTTCCAACTCTGATGACGTTCTATGTTCTAACCAACATGTGGCCATTGGAACTTCAGAACTGGGTAGTAAGTACCTTTTGCGAGGTCTGTCATAACTTAAGGACTACATTAAGTTGATGTTTTCTGTTTTCACTATGGAGGGCTGGTTGATGAAATTGACAAATTTTGCTGAGATGTATAAAGTATCTTCTTTGGTTAGAGAAATTTATTGGTGACTGGAAACCTCTTATGGACTTTTTGCTTAAAAATGAAAAAAATGAACATGTGATTTATGGTTTTGATGGTTAAGGTAGATTATAGAAAAAAGAGTATGATGACATAACTTTAAAGAAAGAGGTTAAAATGTAATCATACTTATAACTGCTGTGAAGACTATCGGAAGCCGCTGCTTGGCACCTGATTATTTTAGTGAGAAGTGTTCCTTAGCATATGATCGAGAGCAACCCCTGTATGTGGACAAAAGACATACTATATGGTGGTGCTACAGGAACAAAAGGATTTCCAGGCTGCTCTGCTCTGGTAAGTTTAATTTAGACAGCTTGAGTAGCGCATAAAAGAGGAACCACGGAAAGATACTAAGCGACTGGGACACTGTCATGTGTAAGGTCATAAGTGCAACTGAACTTTCATTTCACTTTCCTAAAAAATGATATTTACCATCTGGAATTTGCTCAAACCAGTGGTGGGTTTCAAATTTTTCTACAAGCGGTTTTGTGGGTGTGGCTTGGTGGGCGTGGCAGGGGAAGGATACTGTAAAATCTCCATTCCCTCCCCAATCCAGGGGGAGGTTACTGCAAAATCCCCATTTCCTCCCGATCAGCTGGGACTTGGGAGGCAGAGAATCAGCTGGGACTTGGGGGCCAGTCAGAATTTTTACTACCGGTTCTCCGAACTACTCAAACTGTCTGCTACCGGTTCTACAGAACTGGTCAGAACCTGCTGAAACCCACCTCTGGCCCAAACCTTTCTACCATGTAAAGGATTACATTTTAATTTTTTTAACAGAAGACGTTGTAATAGAAGAGATAAACCCATAATTTTGTCTCATTTAATATGCAGAAGAACGTTATGATTAAACAGATTCTGTGACTTTTAATATTGATGGCAAGTGATGGTAGGGAGCAAGAAAATTACAATACAGGTAGTCCTTGATTTTCAGCAGTTCATTTAGTGACTGTTTAAAGTTACAACATCGCTGAAAAAACTGACTTATGACCGTTTTTCACACTTATGACCATTAGAGTATTCCCAGTGTCAACTGATCAAAATTTGGATGTTTGACTCATATTTATGATGGTTGTAGTATCCTGGAGGAGTGTGTGTGTCAGGTGATAAGCTTTTGCGATCTTCTGACAAGCAAAGTCAATAGGGAAGCCAGATTCACTTAACAACCGCATTACTCACTTAACAACTGCACAATTGTTAACAATTGAGGCAAGAAAAGTTGTAAAATGAGGCAAAATTCACTTAACAACTGTTTTGCTTAACAACAGAAATTTTGGCCTCAGTTGTGGTCGTAAGTCGAGGACTACCTGTAGTTCACTACCTTTTGTGCCCATAGATAATTTGCCCCAATTTTAATACATACTCACACTCACACTGTTGAATGTTTGCATTCATTGAGGGGACAGAGTTACCAAAAATGCACCAGAAAATAATAGCAAACCCCAGGATGACAGATTTAGAAGGGATCCAATGTTCTTCGTTTGGTAAATAAAGATAGCCAACCTATAGGTTTCCCCCATGACTGGAATAGAATGCTTTGTAACCATCCTTGAGTCGGCAAACACAACATAACGATATGATATTTGCTGTCCCTTGTTGCTAATTTCTATCTCTCTTTTATTTATCGTTGTCCCCCATCATTGTTAGTCATCTGACTTCCTTCCATCTCGGAGAGTGTCAAAGCAGAGGAGAAAAGGCTTTTTCAGCACAGTGAAGGATGACATGGTTGCCTTACTCATGGGCTGAGGATGAAGGGAAGACAACGCCATTCAAACTACTGTAAGCAGAAAAAAGATGCTGTTGGAATATCTTTGTCTCATGGTTAGATCCAAAACGAATACGACCCATACGCCACGAGTGAATTTTCACAAAGGAAGGAAGAGTTTTTCTAGCTGAATGCTGTCCTCCAGTAAGGTTTTTTCTTCAGCCCCAAACCAGCTTGCCCCATCTTTATTGATCAATTGATTAAATTGTTACCCTCTTTATTACTTTATAAATAACTCAAGGTGGCAAACATTCCTAAAATTCCTTCCTCTTCCTGTTTCCCCTTCATAGTCAGCTGGCATCTCATCAAATTTTCAAAACTCAGATTTCTGGAGGAGCTTCATGGAGACTCTTAGGAGATGCCGTTTGCCTGGGTGATTGCATTCTAATGCCAGTGAGATGATAAATTGTTGTCAACCTCAAAGAGTGTCTTCCCAATTTAGGGAGGAAATGGCAATGGTGTGTGTATGGTGGAGGGGGGGAGGGTGGACAGGAATTATGGGCAATGTCTATAGTTGTAGCAACCAAGCTTTGATTAAAACATTCTTCCAAAGTATTATTGTACATGCATCATGCAAATGTGGTATTTTCCAAAATGCATTTTTTTAGAATAGACATTTATTCAACCATCTAAGAAACCAAAAGGACTCTGCTCTCATCAAAAAAAAAAAAAAAAACAAGGCAAATCAGCTGATAAAATAGTAAATTCTGCTTAAAATGAAAGGAAGGAAAACAGCTGAAATCTTGACAGACGAGTGTTTGATTTATCTCCAGGAGCTGGAGATACAACTGAATCAGTGGTGGGTTGCTTCCAGTTCGCACCGGTTCACAAGAACCGGTAGTAAAAATTTCTAGAATTTCGGAGAACCGTTAATAATATTGGCTGGCCACACCCCAGAACCGGGCCCCGCCCGGTTGCCGCTCGCTTACCCCGCCCACCTCATCAGAGGCTTTTTAAAAAAAACTTTTAAAAGCATTTTTTCTACAACCTCTTCGGCCGAAAAAAATGCTTTCAAAAGTAAAAAAAAAAAGCCTCTGATGATCGTGCGGCTCAGCTGGGATTGTCAGAGGCTTTTAAAAGCATTTTTTCTACAACCTCTTCAGCCGAAGAGGCTGTAGGGAAAAAAAATGCCTTTAAAAGCCTCTGGCGATCCCAGCTGAGTTGCCTGATCGTCAGAGGCTTTTAAAAGCATTTTTTTCTGCAACCTCTTAAGGTTGTAGAAAAAATGGTTTTAAAAGTAAAAAAAAAAAGTCGGTCACACCCACCCAGTCACATTACCCCCCCCACCAAGCTACGCCCACAAAATAAGCCACACCCACAGAACCGGTAGTAAAAAATTTTAGAACCCACCCCTGAACTGAATGTATGTTCCCCTAAACTTTTTAAAGTGATGTTATGCCTTTTCACTCAGGCCAAGTACTTGTTTTCTATCATTTATTAGCTATCCTTTTGCATGACCTCTAAAGCATATGCTGTTATTCCAGATTGGGATGTGTGTGTGTGTGTGTGTGTGTGTGTGTGTGTGTGTGTGTGTGTATACGTACTCTGGCCCTTTCCCTAACCTGGGGCCATTTAGAAATGTTTGTTTGTTTATTGGATTTCTGTGCCACCCATCTCACTAATACAGCAACTCTGGGCATCTTACAATGTAATAAAAGTTAGAAAGTGCAAAAGACAATTAAAATAGAATTAAAAATTAAACATTAAAATTAAAATCCAAGATGATGGGCTGCTTGGTGGTACGAAACTTCTCTATCCCATCAGCCCACTCCCAATGTAGCAAACTCTTGTCAGGGCCTCAGCCCAACTGGCAGAGCCAAATTTTAGGCTCTCCCAGAAGTCCAGGAGCATGGGGACCGATCTCACCTCTGACTGGACAATATTATACCAGAGGGCGTGGGCCACAGCAGAAAAGGCTCTTGTCCTGGACCCCACCATCCGAAATTCTTTGGACAATGGGATCCATAGGGATCCCTTTCCTCTGGAATATGTGGGGTGGGTTAATTCCTTGGGATTAGGTGGTTCCTCAGATACCCAGACACAACTCCCATAAACCTAAACCAGAGTTTTATTTTAGGTATTAATTCTGATCGCACACTCACATATGCATAGAGGAATGCAGAAAACACAAAGGTATGCAGTAATTCTGAAGATTACACAGGCAATGTTTGTAAAGGACTTTCAAAAACCATGATGTAAATTTGGAACAGTAATATTAAGGTATCTGAATTTAGTCTATCTTGCTCCCAGAAAGAATGACTCCTGGAGTGATTCTGATAAAGTCCCTGAATTTCTCAATAAAGTGAATTGCTTTTTGAAGAAATTGGGATATTTTCCAATACTCAGACTTGTGAGGAATCTCTGGTTTCTTCTTTGAATTGTTTTATAATATTTCTCTTTCCTTTCTTTGAACCTATTTCCCTGAATGATTGCGTAGGAGTTCCTCCACATCAAGAAATTTCCTGGAAATACCACCCTGGCCTCTGTCAATCACGAAGAGTCTAGCGAAGATGCAATTTCCTTAGTATTGTGGCCACATGACGTTGGCCTGTTGAAACTGGAGTCTACTCAAGCAGGGAAACAGCATTGTATTTCCCAGCCGCTAGTTCCCTTTTCTGTGTAAAAAATATATGCAAATACAGTGACATTTCCTGCTTTCTATAGTCGGGAGGAGAAAAGTGCCAGGTTTAATGGGAATTTCTTTCTGTAGGAATTTACCCAATTACGGAGAGAAGAGTCCCTTGCTTTTGCTGCACAAAAACTAACATTCAGATACTGTAATCATGAAACTAGTTCCATGAAACCAAGAGATTACATACTCCAGTGGCAAACGTATCAGCACAATGATTTGTACCACCATCAGGTGTTGAGAGGAAAAACATATAATAAAATCCATTCCAGTTCTGCTTGCCTGAGCCTAAGCCACTCCTGGCTCTGAATCCAGCGGTGAAATGTAAAATTTGTTACTACCGGTTCTGTGGGCGTGGCTTGGTGGGGGGGTTTAATATGACTGAGTAGGCGTGGCCAACTTTTTTTTTTACTTTTAAAAGCATTTTTTCGGCCAAAGAGGTTGTAGAAAAAATGCTTTTAAAAATTAAAAAAAGCCTCTGGTGATTGCGCGGCTCAGCTGGGCAATGGGGAGGGGGGGCAGGGATTTTTGCTACCGGTTCTCTGAACCACCCGCCTCCATCGCTACCAGATCAGGCGATCCAGTCCAATCTGGGAACATTTCACCCCTGTCTGGATCCCATTTTAGTAGGCTGGGGGCGTGGGGGGGCAGGAAGAATAGCAGACACCTGTATTCAAGAAAAGCTCTGAGGCTTTTCCTCATCTTGAATTGAGCTACTATTTGTCCATCTTGAATCAGCAAAAGTTGGACCTGTATGAAATTTGCTCTCACCAGCCCTTCTTCTGTGGCATAGGTGTCAAACTCAAGGCCTGTGGGCTGCCCTAAGTGTGCTTGGATCTGCCCCGTGGGGCCGCCCTGGAAACAGCGAAGGACTGGCTCGCTGTGCCTCTGCCAGCAGAAACAGAGCTCGGGAGGGCTGTGCATGGCCTTCACGGTCTCCGTTTTCGCTGGCAGAGGGTTGCAGGAGGCTGTTGCAGCCATAAATGGAGCTTGGGAGCCCATTTTCGCTGGCTGAGCGCTTGGGCCACTACAAGTGCCCCCAACACAAGTGACGTCAAGATGGCCACGCCCACCTGGCCATGCCCATCCCAGCCCCCCAAGGACAAACACAACTCTGATGTGGCCCTCAATGAAATTACAGTTATTGTCTACAGCTATTGTCTCTGCTGCAAGTCCCTGCAATCCCCTTATCTCCCTCCAAGATAACAGGTGGCAAAGCATAATGGATTATTCTGAAGCTGTCAGAACAAGAGAGGAATTAGTTTGTGAATACTGCTGTAGTTAAGGATGACCTTAAACTTAACCCTGTCTCATTTGTGGGCTCAGGATGAGATGAAGGCAATATCATAGAGAGATGGGAGAAAAGAGTCAGTTGATAGTGGTTAAGGTGCTGGTCTAGAAGACTTTGAGTTCTAGTCCTGCATTAAGTACAAAAACCAGCTAGATGACTTTGGGCCAATCATTCTCTCTCAGCCGAAATTACCTCACAGGGTTGTTGTTATGGAGAAAAGAGGAGGAGGAAGGAGTTTTAGACTTTGTTGCCTGGTTTATAAAAATAATAAAGCACAATAAAAACATATTTTAAAAAATAAGTTGCTACAGTATGTTTATACCATGATGAGTTGCAATTGGGGAATAGCTTTCAGGGTCCTTCAAATTTCTCCCTTCTGCATCTCTACTTTCTATTTTTTTAGAAAAATGTATCTGAAACAAACATGACTTGCTTCTCCCATCTCTTTCCTCAGTTCTAATCTTGGCATACTTTAATCAGTACAGGAGAAAAATTACTGATAAAAGTCCTTCAAACTATTATTGCAAAAACAGAAAGCAAAGGTAGGGCTATTTCTGGCAATTAGATACAACACATAAGAGAAAGATTATGTTTTTGGAGAAGAAAAGATTAATGAAACTTAGAAGCTGATGAAGATTTCCTTAATGGTACATATTTTGTTGTGTGGGCTTGACAGAAAGGGATTTCCATGGAGTTGAATATTGGAGACGGATAGAGACTTAGGGGCCAGCATTTTTTACTATGTAGAAGTAGGCTGAAGATTCTGGAACTTGTAACTCAATGCTTTGGACAATCAAGTTTTTAAAAATCATCTGGTAGAGATTATCTTTGAATGCTGAAAATTAGTCCAATAAAGTCAGGAGATAACTCATCCTTTCTCCTGTCTCTGGTCAGAATACAAGAGCAGATTAGCAGAAAAAGACAGAGTCTGGGCTCTTTAGACCAAGGCCCATACAAGTCAACAGTTTTGTAAATTAAAGTACCAATGCATCTGCAAAACATTAAGGTATAGCAGAATGATGAAAATAAACAGATCTAAGGAAAGGTTTCTTTCTGAAAATCCGATGTGAGAGCAGGAGCTTTGGCAGTCTTTTTGAATGCTAATCTGTGCTCCTATATAAATTAATATATCTATGTATTATGGCAGCATATTTTCAAGTGGCTGCTTGCCATAGAAACCCATAGCTCATGAAGGACTTAGAACTTCTCGTTGTTCTAAGAATTGGAATGAATGTAATAGTTTCTTGGAATGTCATACTCATGTCCTGTTAATACATTTTCAGCTGCTTCCTATTGGGCAGGGGATGTTTTCACAGTTCCAATGGTAATCTATGAAGGATATTAACTTTATAAAACATATGAAAATATTCTACACCTAAGGATATCCCTTAGGATGTGGATGGACAACCTAGTTGTCACATGAACCTTTTCAGCACCAATTCT